TGTGTGTGGTTGTGTGTGGTTGTGTGTGGTGGTGTGTTGTGGTGTGTTGTGGTGTGTTGTGGTGTGTTGTTGTGTGTTGTTGTGTGTTGTTGTGTGTTGTTGTGTGTTGTTGTGTGTTGTTGTGTGTTGTTGTGTGATGTTGTGTGTTGTTGTGTGTTGTTGTGTGTTGTTGTGTGTTGTTGTGTGTTGTTGTGTGTTGTTGTGTGTTGTTGTGTGTTGTTGGGTGTTGTTGTGTGTTGTTGTGTGTTGTTGTGTTGTTGTTGTGTGTTGTTGTGTGTTGTTGTGTGTTGTTGTGTGTTGTTGTGTGTTGTTGTGTGTTGTTGTGTGTTGTTGTGTGTTGTTGTGTGTTGTTGTGTGTTGTTGTGTGTTGTTGTGTGTTGTTGTGTGTTGTTGTGTGTTGTTGTGTGTTGTGTGTGTGTTGTGTGTTTTGTGTGTTGTGTGTTGTGCGTTGTGCGTTGTGCGTTGTGCGTTGTGCATTGTGCGTTGTGCGTTGTGCATTGTGCGTTGTGTGTTGGTGTTGTTGTTGTTGTTGTCGTCGTTGTTGCTGTTGCTGTTGCTGTTGGTGTTGTTGGTGTTGGTGTTGGTGTTACCCCTGCAGCGTTTTTGCTCGGTTCCGTAGTGGCCGAAAATCGTCAAATCGGTGGTGTTTTCGCGTGTTTTTGCAACTCTCGGAGCAAAAAACACCGTAAATACCAATGTTTTTGGGGGGTCGGAAGCCCAAAACCACGGTATTTACGATGTTTTTTGCCTCTGGTAGTAAAAAGCACGGTATTTACAGTGTCTTTTGGCCAGCACCTGGCAAAAACACTGGTATTTACGGAGGTTTCACCATGTAGCAAAATGTGGTTTCTTGATCCGAAAAGAACAAAAATACTGTAAATTACAATGTTTTGAGTCTGCTCTTAGGGTGCGTGGGAGGTGTGGAGGGGTGGGGTGGGGGGTACTAAAATGACTAGCAATCTCCTGAAGAATCAGGTAACGGGGCTGGCCGCCCTCCCCTTTACTTCGTAAAGTAAAACTCAAGGTAGCCCCTCTGGAGCTACCTTTCGTGACCAGCCTAGATTATCAGTGCAGCAAATTGTATAATATTGTTGTTGGGGTTCTAAGCTTGGCCCCTTGCTATGTCGGAGAAAGCAGGTACGTGGAGTTGATCAGACTCCATATCCTAGTCAACTGCATGGAGCTTCGTTGGCGACAGCCATGCAGCGACCCTGTCGCCCCCTGCATTAAATTAATTTAGATTTAGAAAGGGAGAGGACAAAGGAAGAAAAAGAGAGAGAAGAAGTTTTACATCTATTCAGATGTTACACACACACACCCGGCCGGAGCCGGGTCAACCCTGAAAGGCAAGAGGAAGAAAAAAGCGGACACACGACGGGCAAACGGCCAAAAACAGCGCAGGGGGGGGAGGGGAACAGACGGACCTCCGGAACCAACCTACACGGCGAAACGGACCTAACAAAAACAGCGCACACACCTAAACCCCACGACACATTACGGAGAGGCACGCGGGGAGAATTAGGGACCAAATGGGGGACTAGTTGATGACCGACAGGAAAACCAAAACAATTAATTATAAACAGGATTCAGTCCCTAAATGCCTAAAAAGTCGTGCGATTATTCCCTGCACCGGGACCGTGGTCAAGTCGTGCCGCAATGGCATAAAACAGCTTCCAAGTTTCAACGAATTAGATGCACAATATGTTTCACCTCACCAAAAACCAAAGAGACCACACCTGCAGGAAAAGGACATGCCTTTTGCCTTTTTTCGTGAATGTCATGTTGAACTTCAAATGCGCAAGCTGCAGTGATAAAAAGGAAGTTTCTGGTAGTTCGAAGCAGCTTCACTTGAAAGATCAGATCACTGGGGACCCTGGGACAGCCGGAGCAGCAGGAAATCTCAAAATGGCTGATAAACCGCAAGGCTGATTGTTGCCCTTTACTTAAACGAATTACTAAGTTAAAATGTGTGAATTCAGAATTCAAGTCTGTCAACACTCACCCTGAAAAGGGTTGCCTCCAATGGCTCCATGGCACCATGTCGGAGCCACCATGGAAATCACACTAGACAAGAATGGATCATTATATGATCCGTCAGGAACTGAATCCTGAAACATGCAAACCAGCCTAGATTATCAGTGCAGCAAATTGTATAATATTGTTGTTGGGGTTCTAAGCTTGGCCCCTTGCTATGTCGGAGAAAGCAGGTACGTGGAGTTGATCAGACTCCATATCCTAGTCAACTGCATGGAGCTTCGTTGGCGACAGCCATGCAGCGACCCTGTCGCCCCCTGCATTAAATTAATTTAGATTTAGAAAGGGAGAGGACAAAGGAAGAAAAAGAGAGAGAAGAAGTTTTACATCTATTCAGATGTTACACACACACACCCAATCGTTGCCATCATAAATTCATCGCTAAATTGGCAGTCTGCTGCCAAGAATCCCCTGGACTTCTTCAAGCAAATGCACCTTGCGAGGAACTGATTGTAGCTACACAAAC